CTTTGACAGTTTACAGATCAGCAGATATAGCAAACAAAATTCTTTCTCATTTATATGATAGTGAATATTAATTAAAGAACCAGATGTTTGTGAGGGAAAAAACATTGTCCTTCATTTTTAAAGGTATAGAAAAGACGCACAAGGTTTGTTGTGCTTATGTTGAAAGGTTTTTATTAAAAAAAAAATTATTACCTTTACCAAAACCCACAATATTTTGAAAGACAAACATCTTGTTATATGAATATTTTTTGGAATATAGTTTATATTATTTGAATTTCATCCAGAATGTTGTGGTAGGAAAATGCTATTTCTGTTGTTTCAGTTTAGACCTTGAAGTGTTTCAGTGTGGACAACGTTGTACTGACTTTAAAAGGGGAGAGAAAGTGATTGAATGTAAACAGAACCATGACTGAAAGAATGTAAAAACTGTCTAACGTGAAATGATTTTGCTCTTGAAGGCATACTCGAATAGTTGCTAGAGTTAGGAGAATTATATATACATATACGTTTTTTTGTTTACCGGCAGAAGTTATCATCAAAATGTATGGCAAAATTTCTCCACTACGTTAAAAGTCGTCAGAGGACATAGGGTATTGTGTATTGTTAAAGGAAAGAATATTTCATCCAGGATTTTATCAAGGATGTGTTTCCCACAAATACATTCATATGGAAAACATGACATAAAGCACGCTGCTGTTTACAGTCTGAAAGCTGTATTGGTTTAGGGATTTTAGATCTACTAATTTTGTTAGCATCAGTTCCACTGAAGTTGCTCAGTGTGGCAGTTCTTTTAGAAGAGGATTCTTATATTTTGGTTACTGAAGGCCAACACAAAGTTACAACACAATTATGCTACTCTCAGAAGACATGAATAGGCAGGGGATGATAATATCAGAGATGAATCTAACTTTTATATCCAGAGATTTTTGTCCAATTTCTGATTCTCAGAAACATCTACTGCCCTTCAAAGACAACTCTACCTATCAATACTCACTTCCCTCAAATCTAACAGTTATAGGATCTCTCCTCAGTACTTAGAACTGTTGATATGTTTAATTTTCTTATTAGAATTTTTACTTTCTTACATAGCAAGAATAACACCTCTTCCCAAGTCAGTGCAAGCCTGTAATTGTTTTTTTTTATTGCTATGTTATACTGATTTCTTTATAGTCAACAAAAATGAAGTTAATTCAAGTGTGCACTTTGCTCAAACCAAACTTTTAAAGTTACTGGGATAATACTTCTGTTTATTCAGTCCTTATTTTGCTATTTACCTTACATATGCCTCAAATATCATCTTATAGAAGAAAATCCTGTCAGAACGATAAAGAACATTTCAGGTGCTCCTGTCTTAAAATAGCACAAAATGATGGGTTTGATAAGCATGCTGAGAGAAGACAGACATAGCTAAACATCTATCAGAGCAAACCGAGGCAACAGCAAAGCTTATTACAGATGCATAATTCTTCCATTTGAGAAAACAGACAATGCTGAATAAATTAGCTAGGTTATATTTATGCCAAGTACCATCATTTCTAATTACAGACTTACTCTCTTCACTTTCATCCTTTCTTTATGAACAAGAGCTGGTTGGTTTTATAATTTTTCTAAAGCGCATGATATGTTGTGGGTATTATTGAAGTCTAAATTTTACAGAAGTAATTGCAAAAATTATTCTTACTGGTAGGAAAAATATGCTTACTTCTTTTTCCAGACTATTCTTCCATTTTTTTAAATGAAAATCGTACTTGATGTTTGTCTTCAGCACAGAGACCACTGAAGTATCATGCTTGAGGGGTGGGGCTTCTGCTTTCAGCTGAAGTAGCAAGGCTCAAGTTTTTGTAAGAAGTGTTATAAATCAGAGCCTCTAGCTGTAGGTACCTTGATTATAAAAGCTTTGCTCTGGAGACTGTCTACTGAGATAATGTATTAGGATGAGTCAGAGAAACAGTTGCACAAATGGGTGATAAATCATTGAGGGAGTATTGTTTTGAAGTGGATTCAGAATTGGGTATGAAGTTGGCATAGAACATGAAGCAACTATGATCCTATTTATCTCTTACCTAAGTGGATGTTAAGTGTGTGTTTTAAGCTTCTGGAATTTTCCAAATGTACTATGGAGTGCATTCAAAATACTTTGCTAAAATAACATGAAGTTTTAGCGAGAAATAGCATGAAGACTTAGCTTGTTTGGGATAATTTGAGAATGGCTGTATTCCCGTAGACAAAGGATCCCTCTGAATATGTATCCTCTCACTATAGCAGTATCTGGCAGCATGTAATTGGAAATGGTGTTAGAACTCACCACTGGTGCCCTCTCACTGAAAATTTTGTGAAAATTTTCAAGTCTTCAGCAGATGTAGCTGAAGGAATTCCTGAGACAGAGTAGCTATTTTTCACTTAAGAACTATGAGATAACATCCACAGGTATTATCTTAGGACAAAGGTGCATGCGTACACAGCAGCTGTCTGCTTTATGTCCTGTTGTCTATACATACAGTAGACCTTCCAAGAAATCAGTTACAGTTCTCTAGTGGTTTTCCATGCCTTTCTTTCTCCCAAGTCTGCCTCTCATTCAGACAGTGAGTTCTTGTTTATTCCTTAATATTTCAGCAAGATAGGCACCATTGTGATTTTTTAATGTTACAAAACTTCCTCCTCTTTAATTTATTATTGATATTTGAAGTCCCAGATAATACTTCAAGTCATTCACAAATACATGAGTATAACCTTCAAAAAAAGTATAAACTGCCAGTTTATTCTGGCATCAACTCCGTTCCAATTCACTAGAATGAAAATTTCAAGAATCAGAACAGAAACCGTGATTTTCCATACTTCAAAACTTTATTCAGTAAAGAACTGAAACAGAAAGCAATCCTTGAATATAAATTCCTTAGGGAGAAGGAAATTGTAAATTAGCAATCTGAAAATGAGTGGGATGAAACTTGTTCCATATGTTGGTTTTTTTCATTTACATATCAGATAAGTTAGCAAAACAAGAAAATATTGTTCCCCTCCTTCCATTTCTTTTAATCATATACTACATACGGCATTGCACACAAGTCCTTACTTGTAGATTTATGTTGGATAGAAGCCTTGTCTCAGGGAGTTTATTTCATAATGAATCTGGAACAGTGTTGAGTGTATTAACTAAACTACAGATAGTGAAGTCTCAGAAAAAAAATAACTATAGTAAAGATCTGGCTGTAATCCAGGAAACATACACTTCATTCTTCTAAAGGTCATTCTACTTCTCTAATTCCTTGCTGTTTGCTGATATGTTAGTTTCTGGAGTCTTGAATAGTAGTGTTAAACTGATACGGAAAGTAAGTAGTTTGTCATTTGAAGAAAAAACATAGGACAAATTGTAAAATCAAATCTTAACTAATTTCTAACAGTAAAAGACATCTAATCTACACTGTAATTCTCCAAAGGTTAAAAGCTACTGAGAACTCTGTCCCATAAGTATTCCTGACAGAAATTCCTGCATTCACACTGTATTCAGGAGGAACTGTAGAACCAATGTCTTTTTATTTTTTCTCAGACAACTGTTTGAATTCTTAGGTCTCCGTACTCAAGATCTTTGTATGAGAAATAGTATTTGATTGCCTGTATTTTTGTACTGAAAATGGTTGGTGGCCCTGGATATGGCAGGGGGTTGGAGCTTCATGATCCTTGAGGTCACTTCCAACCCTGGCAATTCTGTGATTCTGTGATTCTGTGATTATTTTTTTTAACTCATGCAGACTTCCTGGAAGCTAATTGGTCCACAGAACAGTTTGTACTTTTCAGATCATGTTTTTTTCAAGTGTTTAGTTAAGGCTTCCACCTTTGAAAATCCTATACTAGATTATTCCTGAGTAGAACAAAAAGGGTCTTTCAGTAGCAAAATATTCATAGTTGTGTTTTACACTGCTCCTTAATTAGTGAAACTGAAGGGAGATCATTTGGCAGTTACAGTACAGTCCTTCTGTAGTGGACTGAACATTAATTTCCTGTTTCTTACCTCAAATTTCAGCATTGTAATTGGGAATTACTTAAAACAGAAACTTGAGAATTTTTAATGAAGATTAGTTCAAGACTGCTTTGAAAGTAATTTTAAGCATACTAAAATACAGAAAAATCATGCTTATAAAGATTGACATCAGTTACTGTTCTGAAATCATTAAAACAGGTATAAACAAGAAAAAATATACAATAGTAACTACAGTCACCTCAAATCATTAATCCAACAATTTTAGAAATTCAGGTCTTTTTTCTTAATGTAGAAGACTGTTTAAAAAGTTGCATGAGCTATCTTTGATTTCATGTTCATAGAAATTCAGGTATTTTTATGTTACTGTAATCAAAAGCTTTTTCTGTAACCATCTTGCATGGTCTTACCAACCAAAATTGATTCAGCATATTTCCAAGTTGTTCATTTACTTCAAGTAGTTTCAATTCAAGCTTTCTGCTTTTGTCTGAGAAGCCATTCGTTTTGTTTGATGTAACAAATCAGCCACTTTGGCAGCTTACAAAAAACTGATGAAAATATTTGTGAATGGGGAGTATGGTGTCCTGGAATAACAGTTTTCTATTTAAAATATAACCCCTTTGGAAAATGGAATGATAGTGTAATCTGAATACTAGTGATGGTTTTGATAGCAGCTCTTCCTGTTGTCATGAATGTAGTTGGAATTAAAATTAGGTCCTCAATCCCAGAAACTTTAGCTGTCTAATGTCAGAGGATGTTTTTAAACATTACTTTCTAAATGATCACCTTGTAATATGGTATTGTTTTTGCCCAGTAAGAACTTTATATTGTAGTAATTTCTCAGACTTCTGCAAGAATTAATTCAGTTTTTAATATGCTCTGAATATATTCAGTACATTCTATGAACTTCCATGTCATGCCTAGATTGAAAATATATATATATATATATTGTTCAAATGGATGGATTGTAGGGAAGATTGTTCTGTTCCTTTCTTAGAATTGATTCTGTTTAATTACTTTTTTTCAGATAATGGAGGACAGACTATGGCAGGTGGAAATAACTGGCCGCTTAGAGGAAGAAAATGGACTCTCTGGGAAGGAGGAGTTAGAGGAGTAGGCTTTGTTGCAAGTCCTTTACTGAAGCAAAAAGGTGTAGAAAGTCATGAACTTATCCATATCTCTGACTGGCTGCCAACGCTGGTGCACCTTGCTGGAGGACATACCAATGGCACAAAGCCTTTGGATGGCTTTGATGTTTGGAAAACCATCAGGTAACCTGCATGTCAAATCACTGAGTCAGAATTCTAGTATGGGAAGAATTTATCCAACCTTGAGAACAGAGCTGAATTGAATAAAAAATGTTACTTGTTTCCCTAGTTGAAAGGAAGGTACATGTGCTTGCTCATGAGAAAATTATCAAAGTTGCAGGTTAATCCTTTCCTCAGATGTGAGGCCTTTGTAATGTGTTAACTTAGGTGTGCTGAATTTATCAGTGCATGCGCAATGCTGCACAAACATAGTATACTTTTTCAAGAACTTTCTATCCTCCAGAACTGGTTTTGTGCAGTGTGGAGTACAAGTTAGTAAATTACATGGACCCAGCCCTACCTCTACAGAGCCAAGCTGGGCATCTTTGCAGTATGCTTCTGGAATTGGACATGTGGGAAATCTAACCATACATTAAACTAATAGAACATGAATTTGGATGAGTCTCTATTACACTGTCCAGTGTCTCAGAAAGCCTGTGAGGTTGGATGCAATGATACACCTGAGTTAGTTTCTGAGTTTGTGATGTTGAACCTGATTTAAGCAAGTGCAGTGCTTAGGTGACTGTAGAGAAGGCAACTTAGCTCCAGCTGGATTGGCACTGAGACCATGAATACTTAATACATTTTACTGGTCTCTGACTGATTCTGTGTACTTCTCATGCTGTGTGTATTAAATGGGACATCCCAGACCCCATCACTTCAGATAATGGAGTCTTCTGTGCATTAAAAGAAAAATGAGTTAAATCCCATAGATTTTTCCTCAAGAGAATCATAATAAAAATGGTATCACAAATGCTGGATATTGGACTTGGGGCACTGGGTACATCTGAATATGTGCTTGTTACTGGTGCACTGGGCTCAGCAGAATAAGTTGAATGTAAAAGAATAAATGGAAAAGGCATTAACTGATAAAGGTGATTAATCATTGGAACAAACTATCAAAAGGAACTCTGGTGATGTCCCTTGTGTTATTTTCAGCTAAAACTTAGATTCAGTTAGTCCTTCATCTTTCAAAGCTATTCTTGTATTATAATGTTCTGTTCTATTCTACTGAAATGAACTCTAGAGTCCTGTCCTGGTTTTGGCTGAAAAATGAATTATTTTCTTCTCAGTGATTAGTATGATGATGTGTTTTGAGTTTAGGAAAAGAACACTGTTGATAACACACCAGTGTTTGAGTTGTTGTGTAACAGCTGATTAGACTACATCAGGAAATTCTCAACTTCTCACACTGCCCTGCCAGAGAGGAGGTTGGAGACACATAAGGATCTGGGAGGGGACCAGGAAACTGACTTAAACTAACCAAAAGGCTATTTCATTCTATAAACTGAGTAGTAAAAATGATGGAGTTGGCCTTGGGTGCTGCCACTTCTTGGTGACTAGCTGAGCATCAGTTAGGAACTGGTAAGCAATTGCGCTGTGCATCACTTGCATGTACATTTTTATCTGAATTATTATGTTTCTTTCCCTTCTTTTTCTTTCCTAGTAAACTGTATTTATCTAAACCCACAAGCTTTACCTTTTTCATATTCTCTCCCTTTCCCATTAAAGAAGGGTGGGGGTGATTGAATGGCTGAGTTGTCTGCTGGGTTAAACCACAAAAGTCCTTTTGGCACCCAATGTGGGGCTCAAAAGGTTGAGATAACACATGAATTTTTTATAACCATTATATTAGATTGATAGTTGCTAGTCACGGTGTTGATTTATTCATTCATAATGTTTCCTTTTTTGCTTTCAAAGTTGTTTTTCTTAATTCTTTTCTTACTGTTTATTGTCCCTGGGTCTGGCTTAAGTTTATTTATGGTTTTGCCGATTTGTATATTGCATATGCTCAAATTACATGGACCATGAACTTAATCTGGTGTTTGTACTCAGAACTGCCATCATTCTTGCATTTCAGGAATCTAACCATGGAAACTGTTAACAAGTACACTCTTCACTGCAGAATGACTTAAAATATTTTTTTAATTCTGAATATTCTCTATATATTCAAGCTAGGAAGATCCTATTGCTATGTCTCTAGTTTTGTCTAAGTTTAAATTATTACCTAAAAATAGGTAACCAAAGATCTGGCCTGAGGCAGGGTTGTTAGGGGTGGCAGAGTGTGTGGGAGATATAGTCAGGTATCTGCCACAATTGTCTCTCATGGTTTCAGGTATCATCCCTGAACATGTGTGAAACTCTAAAAAACTGATACATTTTAAAAAGGTATGCCCTGATTCTGATAATACCAGAGATTAGAGTTCTCTTCACTATGCTGGATTATCTCCTGTGCCTATCAAGCAGTAGTCAACACTATTCAGCACCCTCAAGAGGAAGAAAATGCCTCTGAATTTGATCCAGCCTTATGTCAGGCCTTGCTTTTGAACCAGAAAATCAACCACAGCAGAGGAGTCAAGCATCTGGGATCCGTCTTTAGAGAAAGGTGCGTTGACAAAGCAATTGGAAAAGGGGGGGCAAACCCTCACCTTCTGGAGGCAACCCCTGCTGTGTGTGAAGGAAAAGTATCTCTTCAAGGAAGATGTATGTAATCCCCACAGGTGAATCACCATGGAGAAGATGCATCTAGTACTTGTGGGAATTAGCCATGTTCAAGACAATTTATCTTGACCTGGGCTATGATCAGTTATCCAAAGATCCAAATGAAGTGAAGGGCATATGATCCATGTTACAGAAGTGTGTGCTAACTCTCTGGCAGCACTGAGTTGAAAAGATTGAGAGGGAAAAATGGTGGATAAATTTGCTGGCCAACTCCATTAATATGAAGACAGTCTCTTCTTTATGGGCCTGAACCTCTGCTATGGGGAAACTGGTTCAGCAGCTTAAAGAAGGAAAAAGAGTTTTCTCCCCCACCCATATAGACCAACATCTCAACTATTAGAAGTAAGTGCTCTTCTGCTTAAGAGGGGACATAGTGGGAACACACCATATCCCCCCCTGTGTTCTTACTTGCATGACTATGGAGAGGATGTGAGGAAATGGGATGGAAAATGTACTTTGATCCTAGAGGCATGGGTATGTTAAAGGCAGGTCTTTAGGTAAATGGCTGCTCCAGTAAGAGTATATAGCAGCAGTCTCATACAGCCAGTGTGGAAGTCCAATGGAGAGTGGAGGTTAACAGTGGACTATCTTGGCCTGAATGAAGTTACACTACTGTTGAGTGCTGCTGTTCCAGACATGCTAGACATTCACTCTAGCATGCTAGAATTTCAGTACAAACTGGAATCAAAGACACCAAAGTAATATGCCACAGTTGATATCACCAGTGTGTTTTTCTCAGTTGTTTTGGCAGCAGAGGGTCAGCTACACCACAGTTTGGTTTCACTTGGAAAGTGCTCTTGGAACCTGCCATTTTCCATGGGCTGATCCAGACTGCACTGGAAAAGGGGGAAGCTCTGAATACTTGTAGTACATTGATAACATCATTGTGTGGGACAACACAGCAGAGGAAGCTTTTGAGAGACTATGCTCTCAGCCCTTCTGAAAGCCAGTTTTGCTAAAAAGCAAAGTAAGGTCAAGGAACCTGCACAGGAGATCTGGTCCTTAGGACTAAAATGGGAATTGTCAGATCCCCGTGGATGTGATCAATATAATAGCTGCTATGTCTCCACCAACTAGCAAATAGGAAACACAAGCTTTCTTAGGCATTGTGGGTTTCTGGAAAATGCATATTCTGGATTACAGTCTGATTATAAACCCTCTCTATCAAGTGACCTGGAAGAAAACTTCCACGTGAGCTCCTGAGCAACAACAAGCCTTTGAACAAATTAAACGAGAGAGTTCATGCAGTAGCCCTTTGGCCAGTCTGGACAGGTTAAGATATAGAAAATGTGCTTTACACTGCAGCTGGGGAGAATGGTCTCACCTGGAGCCTATGGCAGAAAACACCATAGGAGACTTGAGGTTGATGCCCTAGGGTTTTGGAGTCAGGGATGCAGAGGATCTGCTACATTCCAACTGGAAAAGCAGTTGGCAGCATATGAAGGGGTTTGAGATGCTTCAGAAGTGGTTGGTACTGAAGAACAACTCTTGGCACCCCAACTGCCTGTGCTGGGCTGCATGTTCTAAGGGAGGGTCCCCACCACACATCATGTATCTGAGAATATGGTGTAAACACAGGAATCCTGGGAGAGCATGGGCTGGCCTGAAGTCAGAGGAGTGCTTACATGGATCTGAGGACTTCTCAGCTTCGTTTGGTACCTTGTCAGCAAAGAATCTGGGGATGCACAAAAAGGGAGGAAGTACAGCCAGGATAGATGATCCAGTCTGGTTAGAGGAACATTCCATGCCCTGTGGTTTTCTTCTCACCAATAAAACTAGGTGGGGTGTGCTTGGGAATGGCTACTTCTGTGTGACTGGCATTAGTCAGTGAGTGGTGAGCAATTGCATTGTGCATCACTTGTTTTGTGTGTGTATATACAGAAATGCAGTATATATAATACTGCATATGAGGGCTGCTCTGAAACTAATGCCTCCTATTTTATGATGTTGGCCCGTGAAATCAGGGGCAGATACTGGTATTAAGGCAGTAGAGGTTGAACTTTCCTGACGTTTGCATTTTGCTGCTGCGTAACAGATGGCAGCTGAGTAACATCCTGGCAAAATGGCATCTGACATGAAAGTATGTATGAATCAAAGGTGTGTCATTGAATTAATTCATGAAGAAAAAATGGCACCCACTGACATTTAGACAGTGGATGTGAATGCAGTGAGGTGGTGGGTGGTGTGTTTCAGCAGTGGTAACACTGAGACGAAAGACAAACCATGTTCTGGACAGCTGTTCACAGCTGTCACACCACAAAATGAAGAGTGTCTCAATCAGCTCATCCATATGAATCAGCAGATTGCAATCAGCGAGCTGTATATGGAGATGAATACTGGCTTCAATGCACTGGAAGTGGTGGTGGAAACATTGGAATATCTCAAAATTGGCACCAGATAGGTCTTACAAATGCACTTGCAGGAACAGAAGGAACATCATATGCAAGTTTGTCATAATTGTG